GATAGGAAGGAGTAAAACCACTGGCTAAAGTGAAAAATTTTTTGTGGGTGGACACAGTGGCTCATATCTTTGATCCTAGCACAATGGGAGGCCAAGGCAGGAGGACTGCTTGAGACCAGGAGTTCAAGACCAACCTGGCCAACATAGTGAGACCCCCATCTCAAAAAAATGAAGTTTAAAAATTTTTTAAATTAGCCGAACATGGTGCTGTGTACCTGTAGTCCCAGCTACTCGGGAGGCTGAAGCTGGAGGATCCCTACAGCCCAGGAGTTTGAGGCTGCAGTGAACTTTGATCCTGCCCCTGTACTTCAGCCTGGGCAACAGAATGAGACCCTGTCTCTACAAAACACAGAAACAGAAACTTTTTTTTTTTTTTGTAGTAAATTCTCGATAGGTTGTCAAGGAAACTTACTGAGGAGAGCTATTTACCAGTAACAGTGTTTGCTTTGAAGTGTGGCTACAAACTAATGAGGCTTGCTTCCTTCAGCCTCATTATTGTAGTCTTAGTTCATATAGTCATGGTTGAATGTGCAAAGCAGTAACACTTGCTAGGTTTACTAATTAGTGTTTCACATTGATTGAAATTTAGAAATTGAATGCTTATACTTTGTCAGAGGTTTCCTTTTCTTTGCTTTAGCTTTGAAATATTCCTGTAAAGGTTTTTCTTTAGGACTGTAACTTCATTGCATGGCCTTAGTCAGCCTTTGAAGCAATGCGTAGGTTTATAATGGCTGGCAAGCACTTTACCGGGAAGTGAGGGAAGAAAGACTATGTGTTGTTATTTATACAACAAGTCAGTGGAGGATTAACCCATTTTACTACTTTTTCTTCTTGAATCTTTTTGTAGTTGGATAAATATGACTTAAATGCCTTTGTCTAGAGTCTTTGGAGGGCTTTTTTTTTTTAACCGTGTAATTTGAATTAACCACATGCTTATATTTGGGTTTATTTTCTTTTGATAAGGAATGTTTTAAAATGTAAGATTGGTCACAGTTATTGAAGAGAATGAATGTGGCACTAGTTTTATGATTTAGTAAATCACTGGCCAGGCGCAGTGGCTCACGCCTGTAATCCCAACACTTTGGGAGGCCTAGGCGGGCGGATGACCTGAGTTCGGGAATTCGAGACCAGCCTGACCAACATGGAGAAACCCCATCTGTACTAAAAATACAAAAATTGGCCGGGCATGGTGGTGCATTCCTATAATCCCAGCTACTCAGGAGGTTGAGGCAGGAGAATCGTTTGAACCTGGAAGGCGGAGGTTGTGGTGAGCTGAGATCATGCCATTGAACTCCAGCCTGGGCAACAAGAGCAAAACTCCAACTCAAAATAAAACTAAGGATAACCTGGAAGCTTATTCCATTGAGGTATAGACTCTGGGGGAAAAAAAGTAGCACTGACTCCCTTCAGCTTTTAAAAAATGACTGTGATTGGCTGGGCGTGGTCGCACACCTGTAATCCCATCACTTTGAGAGGCCGAGGTGCGTGGATCACCTGAGGTCAGGAGTTCAAGACCAGCCTGGCCTAACATTACATTTATTCTTTTATATCGTCTATCCACTAATTTCTTGAGAATGGAGTCTTCCGCTCTGTCCGCGCCACGCTCGGAGTGCAGTGGCGCCCGGGGCCCCATCTCAGCTCACTGCAAGCTCCACCTCCCGGGTTTATGCTTTTCTCGGCTCCCACCAGGGGGGCCTCAGGACCTCCCGAGTAAGGCCTGGGACTCCAACAGGCGCCTGGCAAACCCCTCGCCTGCTTAGTTTTTTTTGTATTTTTTTTAGTAGAAGAAGGGGGTTTCACCGT